AGTGTAAAAATGTATGTGTGCTCTTGGTATGGCTGACACACAGGCAGGAATAATTAATTCAAACAAAAAAGCCTTTAGCAGCAATTTTTAACTGCTACACTCAAGGGTTTTCCGTAAAAACCACCACCACCAACCAAAAACAACAACAAAAAAACCAAACCAAACAACCCCAAACCAAAATTAATTAGGTGTGCTAAAAAGATTCAACTAAAAAAACCATTTAATTACAGTGCACAATGAGCCACACACACATTAGTCCTGTTTAAAAACCAGTGACATTTGCCCGACAGGTAGCACATAGAAGAACCACTCCCAAGCCCAGCTCCTTGCTCTGGAGGGAGAAGGCAAGAGGCAGAAAAGGAACACAGTAGCTAAGGGCAAGCAGGAGATCAGCTGAGGATCAGGAGCTATTGAATTGGATTGATGCAGTGTGTAAGATTAAAATGAAAAAAAGCTGAGGTGTCAAATTTCTACTGCATCTAAAAACACCACAGTAAAACCAACGACTATTGCAATCTTCACATTACGTAGTGCAATCTCAGACGTCAATAACAAGCTAATATCTCCAAACAAAATAATACAGAAGATAAATTTTATCAGGGACTAGTAGTGTCAAAGCATTACTTCCCTAGAAGGGAACAAGGTTAAAGTCTATCTTCCGCCAGGTAAACACTTGATTCAGCTATATAATGTGTACACCCAGCACCTATAATATGCAGTGAGCCAAAACTTGCAACTCTCATGTATCTTAAAAAAAAAAAAACAAAAAACAAAAAACACCAAGCTCACATACAAGACAGTGAAAGGAAGTCCCCAATGGGGAATATAATCTATCCACTAGTATATGCCTCATTACACAATTTTAAATATTTAAGGTCATCCAATACTTGATTTCCACATCCAATTCTTTAATCCACTTATTAAAATAATCTCTTTTTCCTCTTCCTATTCAAGACATTAGTCATGGTTCAAGTTTAGACTGTTCTAGCTGATTGTACTATTTTGGACAAGGAAAGGGGGAAAAAATAAATAAATTACAAAATCCCAACCAAGTGTTGCCAGCAGTTATTCAAGACCCAGTTGGATTTTGTTACAGATTTAAGTTACTATTGAAGTTCAGATGTTTTAGGAGAAGTTTTCAGAACACCTTGAAAGTTAAAACTGCAGTTGATACTGCAAACACACTAGGATCTCAAGAACAACTCACCGCTATGAAGCAAGTCTATTTCGGTTTTTTAATTAATTTACACAGTTTTAGATCCAAGTGCACAGATAATCAATTATTTATTAGAAATGTTAATCATATTGCTTTGAAAGCAGCTCCATAATCTACTGAGTATACTAACTCATGTACTTTTAATCACCTTTTACTTGGTGATTTGGTACTTAATATGTAAGGCTTACGAGTGGTATAGAAGTCTGGAAAAGCTACAGTGGTTTTATGTCAGATTTCTTTAAAAGACAATTCCATGAAACTAGTTACAAATTTGAAATGACCATGCTTTTGCATGGGAAAATATCCAGCTATTCCTGAACATTTACACTAACTGGTGGATAACTGATTTTAGTTTATCTTTTCTATTAAACAAAACAAAGCAACAACAAAACCCAAGAATGCATCATGTCAAAACAGAAGAAAATCTTCTATGGTACCACTGTCCACAGAGCTACAAGGAAAAATAAAGATTTATCTGGGACAATCCTATGTAGTCCTTCTCCTTACATGGTAAGTCTTAGAGGTTTTAATAGGCTACTCAAAGAAGACAGGTTTGTTATCTAGGCATTCAGCTGTAACTTGCCCACAGAACACATAGGCTTAACAGCCTTATGTCTGCAAAGTTTATGATCACAACTATTAAATAATGGTTTCTAATTTAAAATAAAGGGGTACTAGCTTAGTTTTTCTCTTCTAGCTTTAAAATAGTTCTTCCACATGTCATAAAACATGGTGAACAGAAACATAATCATATAACATTATAAAAAGTGTCGAGGTCAGAAGAGAAAAAGAGCTTTTTTTTTCCTAGCATCTATGAATGGAATGATTTCAGTTCATTATCAAAAGCCAGAATTTAATTTCTTACTGTAATACTTTATAAGAAATGCAGACAACAGTTTCTAATCGCTAGGTGTTTCAGTCTCTGCTGGACCTCTAATCAGTCTTCGTATTCCCCTCTTCCCCGCAGGACCTTTTGGCTTAGCAAAACTTTGCTTGTGAGCATGTTGTTTTGGATGAACCTCTTCATAAAGAAAGTCAGCAGTTAACTCATCGCCATCATCGATTTCAATCTGGGGGGGAGGAAAAACCCACATCATATTATTCATCTTAGAAGACACATTTAAAAACAGTGAGAAATTTTGCTGAAGTTTAAAATAATGTATTAAAATCACATGTGCAATAATGTTCAGTTAGCATGGAATGTTCTCCAACTTGTGCCTAATGCCCCTCAGCAACCTTCATAGCTTTTCTGAGAATCCGCTAGATTCTTACCAGTATTACGTGTGATTTGACTTAAATACTTCTGCTGAAATATAAGCACAACTAACACAGTACATATGCCAAGAACTTCCTGTGTCCCCTAGCACAGTGTACATGTGGACACTTTCAAGGAATTACAGAATCTTAGGAGTTGGAAGGGACCTCGAAAGATCATCCAGTCCAACCTCCCTGCCAGAGCAGAATCACCTAGACCAGGTCACACAGGAACGCATCCAGGCGAGTTTTGAATGTCTCCAGAGAAGGAGCCTCCACAACCTCTCTGGGCAGCCTGTTCCAGTGCTCTGTCACCCTCACAGTAAAGAAGTTTTTCCTCATGTTCACATTGAACCTCCTATGCTCCAGCTTGCACCCATTGCCCCTTGTCCTGTCATTGGCTATCACTGAGAAGAGCCTGGCTCCTTCCTCCTGACACGCACCCTTTACAAATTTATAAACATTAATGAGGTCACCCCTCAGTCTCCTCCAAGCTAAAAAGGCTCAGCTCCCTCAGCCGCTCCTCACTCCCTCAATCATCTTTGTGGCTCTGCATTGGACTCTTTCAAGCAATTCCCTGTACTTCTTGAACTGAGGAGCCCAGTTAATAGAGCCTGTAGCAACAGGACAAGGGGTGATAGTTTTAAACTAAAGGAGGGTAGATTCTGACTAGATAAAAGGAAGGCATTTTTTACCATGAGAGTGGTGAGACACCAAACAGGTTACCCAGAGAGGTGGTAGATGCCCCATCCATGGACACATTCAAGGTCAGGTTGGATGGGGCTCTCAGCAACGTGATGTAGTTGAAGATGTCCCTGTTTAGTGCAAGTGGGCTGGGCTCAATGACCTTTAAAGGTCCCTTCCAACTCAGCCCATTCTTCAATTCTGTGATTTCAATGCTAACTAGAAGTATGTATTCCATGTGGAAACAAGTGTTTATTTACTCCTCTGTAAAAGTAAATTCCTTAATAAAATATAACCAAGCAGCGTGCAGTCTTTCAGAGCTACAATTTCCTTTCTTTATTGTCCCCTCTAAAATAAAAACTTTTCATTGTCCCAATGCAATCTCCACATTTTAAGAATGAAAATATTTCACTAGAACATGCTTTAAACACTAATTGTAAAAGCAATGTGCATACATATTGTCTCTTGAGACAGAAGCTGTTTGTACTTCTCCCCTTCTATGATTACCTGGCTACCACAGCTCATCCGGTATTCAAGCCAGGGAAAAGCTAAAATAAATTTAATGAACAAAAGGTGGGGGGGGGATATTATTTTGGTTTTTAAAATTTAAGCAGATAAACCTGAATGGAAAGAAAATGCTGTTCTCAAGCCAAACCCCACTGTTCTGAATTGCAGCAATTTAGTTTCAGAGAAATGCTTTGGCCCCGCTCTGCTGAGCATTCAGCGCTTCATGGCCTGCCAACCATAGCACTTGATGAACTTGCCAGCCACTGTATTACTGTTACAAGTACATGCTTCAGAAATATGTCTATGGCAATTTCAGGAGTCACACTGTGCATTTACTTCGTTGTAGAAAAGAAATTTGAGAAATAATTACATATGAAAATATGTAGCAACAGTCTACTTAAGTCACTTAAGTCCACTGTGACTCCACAGTAGAAATGGTTAGTTTTAACTCTATTTTTTAGGTAGGTAGACGTAATCCCCACAGAAACCAAGTCTCAAGGTTCTTATAAGTTTACAGCACAAGTGTTAAGCATGTAACCATCAGTCACGTATTCCACAAATGGACCATTCCTATGGTCTCTGCTCTGGAGGTAAGAAGCCTCTTACTCTTTATGCAGAGCAGTAAAATCTAGACAAATGTGAAAACATCAGCTTACTTCCAAATCCTTGTTTGCCTTATCAAGGCCTCTTAAGACAGTAGTTTAAGTTCCAGAACAGCAGCTTGAAGTTATTTTGAAAATCCTTAAATAACCTTGGCTTTAAAGGAATTTAGTGTTCAACAGCAATGTGTTGTGGTCCAAAATATGACAGGCCTTTTAGTAAGAAATCATATTACTTCTAAATAGTCCTTCAAAGTACTCTTAAATAGTATCTTGATGCACAGGGATGTTTCTTAAAGCTATCAAAGTGTAGAAATTATGAACCAGAAAAAAGCCCCCATGACTTAACTTTGTATGTGAAGCTTTATCAACAAGTATTTCTTGTTCAGGACAAGCTTTAATAGTTATGCAACACTTTTCATCGTTTACAGGTGGTGGTGCCAAAGACAGTTACAGTTATCTATTCAGATGAGAACAGTGGGGTGGAGAAAATACCAGTATACCCAGTGTACTTACCTTTCTAATTATCTGCATCCACAACTGTCTTTCTACAATTTCTAACAGTGGACTTTTGCAACTAGAGTAGAGCATTCGTTCTCGTATACTACAAGTGTACCCTGGCATAGAGTAGATGAAAACTGCAAAAAGAAACCACAAATCAGACAATATCTCCATCAAAACCTGTATCATAAAATCATTCACAGCAGAGAGGAATTTCAGATCAACTGTGCAGTCTGAACGGGAAAAGTGTAACACCACTCTGGATCATTTTCCAGTTCAAAAGGGGGAATCAAAGAATGGTCAGGATCTTTATGTTTCCACACAACGACTGATTTATGGGTGTTCATAATCCAAAGGGAAAGCTCACTACTTTCTAAACATTGCGACACTTCAGAAGTCAGTTTCACAACCAAATGACTCTGAAATTTATGCTCATGCTGACAGACAGATTACTTTTATGACCCGTCTTTCTCTCTACCTCAGAATTACTACAGTACTTGAAACAAGCCAATAAAATTTCAAACTGGGAAATTCTCTCATACCTATGGATTCCAAATAGTCTCCTTCATGGGCATGCTTATACAGGAAAAAGTGGTAACGCGCAGCATCCTTTGGAATTCTTTTTGGCAAGTCCTTAAGTTCAGTATGAAGTGTGTTGGCCAAAATAATTGTTTCATTTTTCATGTCAATTTGCTGTTAACAAAACAAATCTGAATACAGTTAATACACAGAGAGCAAACCAGAGAACATGACAGGACAGAAAAAAATTAATTCATCTAATACAGAATGATAATTTATCCGTGTATGCCATTGATGCACACTGTTTAACATACAGGTAATCTATTTGATACTCACTATCAAAAAATGGTTTAAGTATTTTATACTTGCCAGTTGTACATAATTCAGTTTCTTATTTTTCAATTTCTCCAAAGCCTGGATAGCTTCTTTAGCAATGGGGAATGCTACTCCTTGCAGTGTTTGATGCTTGGTATCTACACCAACATCCGTCTGCACCTGGAACACAAGTCAATTGAGACATAAACGGAAAACTTTGCAAGGATTCTTTTGGCTTCGTACAATAACTGTGTTTAGCTGTATGCAATGCATTGTCAGAGTTAGCAGTAGGCATTCTGAGAATAAACTACCCTAAAGCATCATCCCCATATGCAACACATTTACATTTTTTAATTTACAGGTCACGTTTGCTTGCTTGCCTGGAAACAGTTTCACATCTCTGAAACAGCTAGCTTTGCACAGAATCATCAGAGGGAAAACTGGCTCAAGTGTCAGTGAAGAAGCTCTAAATTAAATTCTGGCATAAAGACACAATAAGCTGGAAGAAAGAGCTTGATTTTCATATGCTGTGTTATACTTGTGAACTGACAATAATTACTTAAAAACTTTGTCTTGAAAAAATGTAGATCAAAACATATAAAATGGCATTTTTAAGGGAGTGAAAATTTTCAGAGGAAGAGAAAGAAAGTATCTTCTGAGACCAACCAATCTTCCTGAAGGAAAAGCAAAGCAACTTGCCTCCTTCCTGCTTTAATACCCTTCCCCCAAAAGCCTACACCAAAAGAAAGCAAACAAAACAAAACCTTAACTTTTTGCTTCTAGAAGGCCTCACACAAAGTAAAATAAAAACAAACAGGGTAACGAAAAGTAGATAATTGCTCATAATCCAGTTATGTTAGTCACAAATTATCTGAGAGTAAACAACAGTCATTTTAAAGCCATTTTTTAAGAATCTACTTTTATCTTAACATTCACTCAGTTTCTCTCAAAATGAGCTCTGGCCTCCAGTTTTCTCAAGTCTGAACTTAGATTGTCCAAGTATTAGCTTTTGAATATGTTGACTTCCTTTTCTAATTTCACAAGTACATTTAACATTGGTGATGAAGCAGCAAAAGTCAGAAAAGCATACAAAATGGAAAGTGTAGGTCTTAGATCTATCAACTGGAACAAACTGATAAAAGAATTTTAAAAAATACTTGGAGCAACACTAAATTATACTCCACTTTTTAAAAGCAGCATGTCAGCAACAAGGAAAGAGGACAAGCAACCAGGTGAAAAAGCTTACGTTTGTATCAAGATTGATAAATTTATGAAAAAAGTTATATTAAAAGTATTTTCAAAATATATCTGCATAGAAGTCTGATTAATAAACACAAAATAAGCATCAAAAATTAAAAAACCATAATAAAATACCACACTATATAAATTATATTAAAATACAAATAGAAAATTACAAATAGAAAAAAAACAGACATAAAAACCAATTGTGAAGTGTGAGGCCAGGCAAGGGAAGAGATAACCCAGCATAACTCCAGATTTAAGAAAATGAACCAAATCTACTTGTCCATACTGCAACGTATTTCAGACCATTAAAGCAAAAGAAAAAAACCTAAGTCACTTTAAAAAATATTTAAATTCACATCATAAGATTTGTTAGTTAAGGCTGATGAGTGGTGGATAAAATGGCAGATGAAATTTCCTGTGAATAAGTGTAAAGTAATATGCGCACGAGAAAAGAACAAAAACAAAACCAAAACAACCCCCAAACCTCTCTTCTACTCGAATGGCAATGGGATTGAGCTGGCTACTACCAGTCACACTGACTATCTCTGGAAATATAAACCCAGTGGCAAGTCTTGGGGAAAAAAACCAGCAAACAAAACTAAACAAAAAGCCACCAAGCAACCCACCACACACAAAACCAAAAAGACCCAGCACTCACCCACAAATTAAATGTTACAAATTGTTACAAAAGGAGTAGAGAACAGAAGACAGCATTATGCACTACAGACAGCAGTAAAGTGCCTGCATCTTGAATACCACACGCAGTTCTGCCTTCCCCATCCCTCCACCTCAAAGATTATACAGCAGAACTAGAAAAACTGCAGAGGAATGCAAGAGGATCAGAAGTATGGAGTGCCTTCTTTAGGAGGAAGAACTACCTAGATCAGGGCTCAGAGGTAAGGAACAGTTAAACACAGGACCATGGATACAGAATCATAGAATGGTTTATGTTGGAAGGAACCTTTAAAGGTCATCAAGCCCAGCCCACTTGCACTAAGCGGGGACATTTTAGCTAGATCACATCGCTGAGAGCCCCATCCAACCTGGCCTTGAATGTTTCCAGGGATGGGGCATCTACCACCTTTCTGGGCAACTTGTTCCAGTGTTTCACCATCCTCATTGTAAAAAATTTCTTCCTTATGCCAAATCTAAATCTACCCTCTTTTAGTTTAAAAACATTGCCCTTTTGATCCTTTGATGTGACCCAATAAAACATTTTGTAGGGTAATTGTGAAAGAATATACATATGGAAAACTCAAATTATTACATATTTTTTTTAAATCAGAAAGCTTTTAGTTTTCTGAGTCTAATTACAGGCTTCATAATGGTGGAAGCAATTAAGAGAGATATGATATAAGTTAATGTCTTGCAAGATACTTCAAACAAAGCCAAAATGGCAGCAATCTACAGTTTATGTATCTTTGAAAAGCACAGCTATTGCTGCTAAAGTTTCATAACAGCGCATAAGGTTTCAGTCTGCATGATAAACACAACGTATGTAGTACATAACATTGATATCACATAAATTCTACATTCATCTGTGGGTTTTTTAAAAGTTGTTAAAGTAAAATGCAGTGTTCGATGATGAGTGCATTTCTAATCATTAATCAAAATTAGACATGGATAATAAGACAAATAACAAGAATAACAAGACAACACTGAAAAAAGTCAATAAAACACAAAGTTGCAGCAAAAGCAGTCAAGTGAAAACATTAGAGAAGATACAGAGCTACATTTAACACAATGGTTTGCTAGCATCCAGCTGCAGAAACTGCATTTCATATACATGTACCATGGCTGTAAAAGGCAAGCCTAAAGAACTAACAATAGGTCAGTACATGACCTATTTTAATACATGTCTGAACACAAACAGTGATTAAGTGAAGGGAAAACGTCAGAAAAGAATCCTCTGAAACTTTTCAGTCACCAGCTAGCTGGCAATCATCAAACGATTTGGTTAAACCCTGTTAGAGGTTTTTTGACAAAAGCATTGGCAGCAAAAGCAAATCAGTCACTTAAAATGACTTGCTACTTGTTTTGGATTTCTATTTTATTTTTACTGGAATTCCATTCACTTCCTCCCAGTCTTTGAGAGATACATTTGTATTTTAATCCACTCAAACTTCCTGAAACTTTCCGAAACTTTCCATTTTCTGTTCTGCCCTTTTTTACCCTGGAAACTTTTTCCGTACAGTCAGTTTGGAATTCTGCCCCCAGTTTCCCACCCACACTTGAAGACATTGGAGGTACCTCATTAATCTTAATTTGTCTAAGTTCCTCTTCTGCTGCAGTCAGAGGCGCAGGGGAGGACTGCGATATCAAATATTTTTTATATCCATTCAGTGAAACATCATCCTGAAAGCACAAAATCAATATTGATTATTTTTGATACTAGAAATTTTCTTCAAAGATGCTCTATACAGCAGAAAAAAAACCCAGTTACTTCCCAGGCAGTTATGGTCATTTTATTTGAACGGATTACAAGTGTAGGTGCATCTGAAAATTGAGCTCATCTTCCTATACAGCAGGGTCCACTGGGCTGCTCTTGTACTGTGAGCAGCATTTCTACCATCAGTCCCTAATTACCTTGTTAATTCAAAAATTAGCATTAATAAAGACTGTGTGCATAATGTTATTCAGCCTTCTTGGACAAAACCTCACAGATTTGCCAAATTTTTAAATAAAATTTAAAAAATATTTTTTCTTATAAAATTCGCGTGCTCAGAGTGGTAGCTTATTGGTAGTTTTCTATCTAAAAACTGGGAGATAGAAATGCTACCTTAGGACATGGAAATAAGCACATGATACTGCAAACACTTTAAGATGCAACGTCACAGAAGTGATGAACTCTGATAACCACTCTGAGGAATCTGTTAATACTCAGCATCAGTTCTGGCCCTCTCCAAAGAGGCAAATACTGTTATGTTTTTGTAATTTAGGTGGTCACTCAGGAAAGGGCAGGACTTCATGCAATCATATGAATGTAATTTTATACTGAAGTTCTGAGGAGAAAGAGAAAGCTCCTTCTTAGCTCTTCCCTTTCTGAAGGAGACAGACCCTCCCAAATACAATTTCCAGTGCCAATATTCCATTCTGCCCCATTTCAGGAGCCCAGAGATAGCCAGGTTAATACATGTGAAGTAGCAGATGGGACCATAACCAGATTCCACTGGGATAACAGAGCTGGTTGCAACTAAACCATCTTTAAAGACTGAGTTACCCGTTGGATGCTGATGATCAAGTCTGAGTGAGGTTTGCAACTTGAATACTCTGAAGAAGCTGTGATTTTCACGCAGATGACCATTAGAGGCCAGCTGCAATTAAGAAGCTTATAAAGACGCTAAAACAAACATCTGAGACATATATTAATCTGTAACATAATGAACTTAGAAAAAGTGAGTTACATTGACTTCATCCTCTCTACTGCCTCAAACACACTCTGAAATAACAGTACTAGACAAATATGATGCTCCTTCCTTATAATTGGGATGGAAGCTTAGACTTGCATCTACAACTCCGAGCCCAAATTCTACACAATTACACAAGCTGCTGATGCTTTGGTGCAAGTGGTGGCGAGCGATTACTTGACTGAACAGGCAAAAAAAAGAAATAACACGACCTCTACCAATAAACCCTCTTAGCAACTCAATTGTCTACTTCCCTAGAATACAGCCTCTCCAGAGAGGTTTGTTAGTGTGTTTGTTAGGATAATGAAGCCTTTATCACAGGTTAATGCTGAATATAACTAATTATATTCAGCAGAATTATTAGCCTCATGTCCTTACGGACTTGTCTGTCCACCACAACAGCCCATGTCTCTTCCACAGTATTTTTCCCTACTACAGTATCTTCTATTCTTCCCCAAATCTCCAACTCTTTC